AAAAAAAAAAGAAGTAATAGAATGTCTTAGAACCCTTGGAACCTGAGTCATCATGTATAAAACTTTGACTCCCCAACCCACTATTGTGAGAAGACATGGACATGCCTTGAAAGATGTGAGGTTACAAAGAGGACTAGCCAGTCCCCATACTTTGTAGTCACGCCTTAGCAATAACAACACTTATGACTAAAGGCACATTGGAGCCTACAGTCCCAGCAAAGCCACATTAGATAACACCACAGGAAGAGACAAACCAACTCTGAGGAGGCCTGCTTCGTTCTTGACCCACAGAATTATAAAGAGTAAAATGGTTGGTTTAAAGCTACTCACTTTTAAGTAATTTGTTATATAGAAGGAGGTAATTGATCCAGTATTTGATTCTAAATTAGATTAAAACAGTAATTGAATTATATTATGTGACTACATGAATGAAGTCTAAACTCAAGGTTTATTTCTTACCAAGATGAGCTTGAAGATATTTTTAATGAATAATGAGAGAACTATTCAAGGGAATCATCCAGTACTATATGTCTCTGTTTATAAGTATTGCATTAAAAAACATCATGAAAGTTTTAGAAGACAGAAGGGAAGAGAAATCTCAGTAAAAGACAAAAACAGGGGGTGCCCAATTATTTTAAATTTGTATTAAGTATAATCAGATGTAACTAAGACAATGATATTAAAAAGTAGCGCACAAAAATTTGGATAACTGAGAGTGGAGGATAATCTCTACATAGCTTGTGAAAATGAAACAAATTAAAATTTTTTAGTATCTGTAAAGTGTTTTAGGCTTCCTAGATAAAATAAACTCACCTTATTTTGATCACATACAAGTTTATATTTTCTGTAAATATAAACAGAAAAGCTATTGAAAATGACCACCTACATATATAACACAAAAATTAGACTTTGATGAAAATTTCAATATATACAAAGCAGAGAGTCTTTTTTTTTTATTTTGTGCAGATTTTATTGAACTAATTATGCTGAATGTCATCCTACAAGTAAACCTCATAGAGGACTTCTCTTATTTTCACTTTTCTTCATACAAAATGGATCTTCTCCAAAACTGAAACAATATTGTTTTCCTACACAGCATGTTGGACTGATACCCATTCTTTGCTTCCTCTAAGTATGTTATTTCCTACAACTGCACTGTTCTAAGGCCAGCAATGTTTATATGTCATGAGGTCATGCATCTTATAGAATAGCAAGATTAAGCATAATCACAACTTAGTCTTTTGTTATTTTTGTATGGAATCCTAATATGCTATCTCAAAAAGGCTTTTTAAAAAATAATGTGGAAACTTACATTAAAGTGATCATCTAACCAGAGGGAAGAAATCAATGAGAAATGATGAAAACATCATGTTTCATTTTTCCCCCGGATTCAATGTTCTCAACATGTTCTGACAATTGGATCTTTGTTTTGAACAGATAACTCAAGGTCTTCATATAGAAAACAACTCAACTGAATAATAATGAAAGTTAACTTCAGTGCCGTTTTTAAAAATCCATCTGATTCTTCTAGCAAAGAGGAACAACTGCCTCACTTTGGCAAGGTGCATTAACCTAGGCCACTGTTTAATAAATTGCCATTTTCACTAAGGAAATGGCAACAAAATAATGTCAGGATCTATGGAAACGTGGCATCTACAAGAAGAACAAAATTAGGAGGGTGATTTTTCTTTGCTTATCTGTAAATAGGCTGAGAGTTGGGTAAATATGGGGCATTTGGAGGTAAGGGAAAGAGCTGAAGTGTTCTGTCCCCTGAATCACTTCTTTCATTTTCCAGAATAAGGATAGTTCACATAGAATATATTGTATAATTGATGGATATAGTTTACTTCTCCACTTTCCCTATTGGCTAGTAAGTGCTTATTTCCCAGATGGCTGCACTTTTCTAAAATCAAAGCCAAAGGCAAACAGCCTCCAATAATCCCCAGATCTCTTCCATAATGAACAACTTTGTTCCTATTGGAAAAAGGGCTAATGAATGGAAACTCAGATTTTTAGTATCAACTGCTACTATACATACAAATAAATGGTCAATGAAAATGTGTGTTTACATTATCAACATTTGGCATCAGATGCTGTATAAGAACATGGGGGGTGGGTTGCTTTGAGTTGATAATATTGCTTATAACTCACATCCTTAGCAGTCTTTTGACCCCTGAACAAAATGCGTTTTCTTTTCTTGGGTCCTAAAATGACACAACCTATTCATTGTGCAGTTTAGATGACAACATGATTGTATAAAAATTATCAGCTCACAAAATGGAGCTCATTCAATGATTTGTAACCATACCAATTGGGTATTGCCCTTTTGTGCACAGCTCACCCACCAGTTGGGGTGGGGGATGAAGAATGTAATTATGCAGCACCTGGGATGTCCTAGGAACTATGATAAGCACTTAATATCATATTCCTTAATTCCAACGAGGAATTTTCAGGGAAGGAGTAATCTCTCTTTTTGCTTTCAGATGTGAAAACTGATGATAAGGAATGACAGGTGATTTGATTCAAAAATCTATGTTATCTCCAGTACCATGCTGCCTATTTACTTTTACAATATCCTTATCAGCCCCCAACATTGTTCTGCTTTCACACCAAGGTCACAATGACCTTGAAGCTTAGAACATCTCATTCAATTTTTTGTCATTTTGGTAGCCCTGGCCTTTATACTAAGCTTTATCTATTCATTCTCATAGTGGTCTCTCTGTCCTGAAAGCACATTGCAATGTTTAATTTCAACCCCTTTCTAGTATTATCTATTGGCTATTGTTCAGTCACTCTTAGACTCACTGCTGTGTCTCCTTTCTCTGTTACATACAAGTCTATGCTTATAATTCATCCTTCAAACTGATTAATGTATTACCTCAACAGTCATTGACATCCTACATGCTATTTCCTTGAGATTTTCATTTGATTTCTACTATCCTGGGAATTACTATCCTGAGATAGTCAAATGACAGTGATGCTTGAAGAGTATGTTCTATATGAACTACTAATATTCTTTATTAACCTTTCATGGTTCCAAAATTCTAGAGCTGTACCACCCAATGCAATAATAGCCCTCCCACACAGGGTTATTGAGTTCTTTAAATGGGATTAATCAAATTGAGATGTACTACAAGTGTAATATGCCACTTGGAATTCAAAGATCTAGTACAGATAAAAGAAGTAAAAATATCTCATTGCATTGATTACATCTTGATATGATAATATTTTATATGTTGAGCTAAATGAAATATGTCATTAATATTATCTATAGATTTTATTTTTTTAATGTGGTTACTAGAAAATATAATATAACATATCTAGCTTTTATTTGTGGCTCACATTGTGTGTCCATAGAGTTTCAAGTTAAAGTTTACCTACAATCAAAAAGGCATGTGAAGTGTCATTGGTAGTAGATACAAGGATAGATGTGTGGATGAAGCTGAGGAAGAAGATGTGAAAAGAAGAATCATTTGGCACTTCTTTACTGTTAGAAATTCCTGGTAAATGCTAGAAGAGTTAGCAAATAACATTTCATGTGGTACTTTATAAACATGTTAAACTGTTGACAACTGTAAACCTTTCTGTATGCATGTTCTAGGCTTACCTCTAGGTAATTCTGGAGACCAGAAAGGGACAATTCCTTCTCAAGCTAGTACCTGGTGTATACAGATGTCTCAATAAGTGTACAGTTAGTTGAACTGAATCAAATTGAATTAGAAAAAAATGGAATGTGTACATCCACTTAAGGCGAGATTTGAGTAGTGAGAGGTCAAAAGTAGATAAAACAAAACTCATATTCTTCCTCATATCTTCTCCCTCTCAGGAATGATACCACTGTCCTCGCACAGGTTCAAGCCCAAAACAGAATGACTTTTGATTCCTCAATTCCCCTCAGCACCCACACCTAACCTTGTATTGAGTACACACATCCTCTTCTTTCCATTTCTTCTACTAACATTATAGGACGAGCACCATTATAGTACAACTAAAGTTCTCTCCTGTGTGAACCACTGCACCCATGTTTCCATTTTTGTCCTCTTAAATTTATTCCACACAGAACAGCCAAAGCGATCTTTAAAAAATTACTAT